CGGAAATTCCAACGAAAAACCCCAATTCAAGCGAGGAAAGTGCGGAGATTTCAACAGATCCTTTTTTTTCTCAAGTGGCAACAGATGCGGAGATTTTTTCAACTACCTGCTTGAGAGATCGCATCGTATCGATAAGCAGAAACAGCTGTTTTTCAATTAGTTTGGCTCTTCTCGATAAACCATCTTTGAAGAGTTATATGCGTATCTAACTTTGCCGAATCTTTTCAGAAAATATGCATCGAGAGGCAAACGTGTTTAATGCTTGGAAACGAGAATTTCGACCCGCGGCAATTAATTTCAAATATAAAACGTGCTTTCTGTGAATATTCAGCGACACAGTAATCAATTGCTTAAGTAACTCACAAAGGCAATGAGAAAGACGTTGAGGGTTTTATCTGAAACTCGGAATTTATTTTAAAACAGGTTCGGGTTTTTACTTTAGCAAAAAATATAACAGTTCAATACGGAAAATATGTTTTACAAAATTATCATTAACATTATAAGCTCAAACCATTTTATCTCTGGCTTAACCCTGAAATAAACATATCTAGTAAATTAGCTCCCCTAAGTCCCAAAGTAAACGCCTCACATAAACAATCGAAAAACGCCCACAAAAAACAGACACAGTATAATAACAATCGAAGAAAAAGACAGACACCAAAGAGGTTGAGGCAATATTGATGAATTATACAAAACACAGACTGGAAAAACAAAGAGGAAAATTTTGATACAACACTTGAATCGGAAAAATTGGGTCAATGGGGGGGAGTGAAATGAAGGGGAACGTGGTGGAACTTAATAATGAAACGGCGACAAAAATTGAGGAAAAGAAAACAATTAAGTGAAAAAATCAAAAGAAATTAAAGTTCTAAATTTTGGATTGTATATTATTAGTTTTATTTATATTGTCTACAAGAAAGTCAAACATTTTAAAGCAAATATGGATTAGCATACCTAAGAGTATTTCTTCTGGAATTATCTTGAAAATGTAAAGCCTGATCCAGCAACATTTCTCATTTTAAGTGTTCATCTTTTAATCCTTATGTCGCTGACACGCACTGTATATTCCCCTTCGCACTCTGTATACTTTGAAATCAATTAGTAAGTCCACAACACGTCTGAATCAACTAAAAGACAAATCTCATTTGCGACTATGTTGACATATTTTATTTTAGCTCGGTGAATTTATTTTTATGCCTCGAACTGTCGGCACCCATGGAGGAACTCCCTCTACACATCTTTCTCTCTAGTTTGCACTCTATTTTTGATCCGGTGAATGCTTCGCTGGCAGTTCCCGCTAATTTGTGTCCCTCCCCGCAGGTTTTAAATTCTCCGTGCGCACACAGAAAGCGGAAGCCAAGGAGACCCGTAGAGAATCCACAAGAGCGAAAATTCCACGTCAAGTTTTTGGTGAATGCCTTTGCTGAATGAATAATGAGGCAGGCGTGCCGTTCCCTATTTTACTGAGAGGGGTTAAAGGGACGGAAGAAATCCAGGCAGAATCCGTAGACCTGTCTGCAAGATCTTAAACGGAAGACTGGGGCAGGTCAGGATGGGCAGGCCGGAAAAACACGGATTTGTGTTGCATGTTTCGGATAAAAATAAAGAGTTAGGAATTTAAAAAAAGAAGTATTACGACAAAGTCTGAAAAGTAGTTCCTAACTCTTTTTACATTTTTCGACCCGTAATAATAAAATCTATGGATTTTTAAAAAAACGTTCAATGATTTTTTAACAATATTATACTGATTATTTGACATTTTTATGCTTCACTAATTCAGTTAGGAAGCTTTCGTTGCGGCTTAAAACAATTCAAGCATGGAAAACAAGCCCTAGTTAGTGTATTTACTCAAAAGTAAATACGGAAGTGTATCACAGATATAAAACCTGGTAAATATGTACATTTGTATGTATATTTATATATGTGCAATTGTAAGATGCACCGCCAACAACAAAGATGAAAAGCAAAACACACACATTCAACCACATGGCAACACATGAGGGAACAACAATAAAGAAATGAAAAACGCAGGAAACAAAACAGACTGTCATAAAATGCGACACCTGTTTAAAGTTGTGGCCGTACCCCCACACCCTAAATACCACCCCCTCCTCCTCGTCCATCTTTTGAGTTCTTTTCGTGTGTTAGCAATGCATTTCGTTTACCGCAATTATTTACTTTGGCTTGATGCGGGCTCTTCAAAAAGGTAAAACAAACCAAATGTGGAAAGAGGATTTTCTCAACAAAAAAAAGAACTCTGAAAAAGTATAATATTTAAAGAAAAACTACAAAAAAATATGTAGATATTCTAAATATATATATTTTATAATTTTTGTAAAGACCAGAGGTTTTACTAAAACAAAACAAAATTTTAGAGATTGGTTCTATAAACGATATATTTTATTAAATTTATGCCATATATGTAAGTCCAATTTTAATTAAATTAATTTTCCCAGAAAATCATATTTGATATCTTATCTGATGATCAAAACAATCTGTAGATGATTGATACTTCAATTTAAAATACAAAAATAGATAGGTATAGTCATTTTTTAGAGTGTATAAAAAACAGTATAAAGAAAACTTAATTGATGGCTTCTTCTTTTTGGTGCATTGAACCGACGGCACAGGTGGAAGAAGAGGAAGTTGAAGACGCGGCATTTGACCCAGTTTGATGGAATGGCATTTGAATGCATTTCCATTTGAGTCGCTCATTCAGTCAGTCGGTCGATCAACAAGTTTTTTTTTTTCAGGTTGTTGTTTAAACCAATTAAATGTCAATTGGCGACGTCATCTGGCTCTTCAATCAGCCATTCATTCAACCCCTCACGAGAGCTTTTCTCACCCCCATCCAAACAAGCTTCTGGCACAATTGAATTCTTTCACACACTGTCTTCTCTCTCTTCATTTGGGTTTCTTTTCGTTTCTCTCCATTTCATTCTTGTTTAGGTTTTGGCACAATAACAATAATAGCAACAACGGGCACGAGTTCTCTCGTCATTGCCTTGTTTATAAACAAAAAGAAAAAAAACCTGCCGTGAAATAAAATTAAAAGAAATACGAAATCTTTTTATTTCAACTTGTTTACCTTGAATCAGCTGAATTGAAGTTCAAGCAATTAATTACACTCAATTTTAGCAGCGGTTTTTTTTACATTTTTCTCGCTTTTGCATTTATTGCATTTTGCTTTATACGTTTTTGTAAAAGGCTTCTCAATACGATAATTAAAATACTAATGACTTTTTGTTTAAATTTTTAATGGGTTAACTAACTGAAAGGGAATATTTACTGGTGATTTATTTAAATTATATGTTAAGTTGGGAAATAAGTGCATTTTATACATTTTTGAAAGTACACTTTTATATTTTTCGTTATTTATGAGGTTTAAGGCTTCTCTATAAGTTAATTAAAATATTAATAACCATTTGTTTTAAATGGGGAAGTCTGTTTGTAAATTATATGGTGTGTTTTTAAGACACCCCAGCTAAAATTAAAAAAAAAACGAAACCCAAAAACAGAAAAGAAACATTACCAAAGCCGCATAACTGTGCCAAGGCGAAATATTCCAAGCCAGCAGCAAAATTTATTTCTTTCTTGTTTTTTTTCCCCCTTTTGTTTGCTGGCCAGTATTGTTTTTCTCTTTTTTTTTTTGGCAGACTTTGCAAAGTGCAAATGTGAAACGAGAACCTCTAAACCATGTTAAGCAGAGGCCAAAATAAACTTAGGGGAAATGGACGCACTTACAAACGAAAAAATATCAAATTACAATGTGCAGCATGATGCAATCGCAAGAGGAAGCAGCTGCCTCTGCAGATTTTCCATCTTTGCCCAAGTAAATCTCCGATTTCTGGGGGAAAAACCAAGAGGAAGATACTCGAGTGCAAGATGAGCCACTTGTAGGGCTGTATCCTGTGGGATAAGGACATCGATAAGGCAGGTGGTCCGGAAGTAGTTGACAATACACCAGCACTTTAATTAATTAATCGGTGGCACAACTTCCTCGAACTCAAAAACCACAAAAGCCCAGAAAAAGTGAGCGGGCGGGGAGAAACAAAAGCTAAAATAGCAAATAAACCAAACAAAAAGTCAACGATGTCTCTGGCTGGCACGAAACCTGGCTCAAACCCACAATAACAAAAGCTATGGGGGAATTGCAGGCGAAAAACAAGGGGAATACGAAAATCAACAAATAAATAAAAATAAAAACAATTGCGAATTTTCGCATTCGTGAAAATGTTACAACTGTCCCACACAAACACACTAGCCAAATAAATAAATGAGCAAAAGTCGTTTACTTAATTGCCCAAAAACAAAAGAAAAACGATACCAAAGTGTCTCATCCCAAGCTTTTTCAAACGACATTTGAGAATCAATAATAGCAATGCGTGTGAGTTTTGGAAAAAAAATAATATATCCTATAAGAACTCAGTACCCAGTAACTCAGAAAAAATCGGTTGGATAATATTAATTTATTATTAAAATTAATAGTTAAAATGGATTTTCTATTATAATGACTTATTGAGTACTTATTTAAAAAGTATTTTACTTTGAAATATGAACCTCTTGGTAAAATAAATGTAATATAACTTAAGTTTTTTTAAAAACCTTATCACATTGATTCCAAAACTATTTTAACAAAAAATTTGTATAAATCGTACTAGTTTTATTGACTTAAGAGAGTAGAAGTAGGCGTAAATATATACATATGTATGTGTAACTAACTTTGTGCATACTAAAGATCAGATTAGATGAGATCATTTTGCATTATGCCTACAAAGATGATAAAAAAAATGCGATAGACATTTTTCCGAAAATGGTACTACATGTTTGAGATCATTTGCAAAATCTAGTTAAAATACCCCAATTAGTTCTCCCTATCTCCCTGTTCTGGTTTTCCCCATTTTTGCTAATTCGAGAAAAAAACAAGAACAAAAACAGGGCTTTTGAAACATTTGCTAATTAGCAGCCGTTTTGGAAACAGTTAGTTTTGGGCCACGCACCTGTTGAAATATATTTGCTTATCCAATTGGAGCAGACGACTGACTTGAACGGTTAACGGGACATGAATTTGGTTAAAAACAAAAGAAACGAATTATTTGCACTTGGCGAAAAGCCACAACAACAATTGAATGGTGAAAACACACACACACACACGAACAGACCCACACGCGCGAGTAGGAGGGAGGGAGACGGAGATAGCCGGCGGAGCGCAACAGTTAGGTTTTCTTGTTGTTGTACTTGCTGTATTTGTAGTTGTTGCAGAACAGGTAGTTGCACATAAAATTTCCTAAATTCAGCTATTTGATTTTCTTTACTTGATTTTATTCGATTTGTTTGCACTTTCACTTAGGTCTGCATTTTCGGCATATCAAGACACTTTGAACTTTTTGTATTTTTGTGTGTAAATTGTAATTGTACGCGTGCGTAACGTTGGTAACGTCTTTAACTTTTTCTTTTTGTTGTGATTTTTGGGGTTTTTACGTGGGAAATTATACCGCGCGCGCGCTATCGAATAAAATGTAAGTATTAGTAATAAAATGTCAAAACGTTTAAAAAGTTTAATATTGGCCCCAAGTATCCGTTGTTTCCTTTATGATTCTATAAAATTCGATTACACGCGCGCAGCACCAACCAACTTTTTTTGTTCACAGATTCAGAAAATGCACACTCCGCGTCCAACCGACCGATTTCCCGTTTTTTTGCTTTTTATTTCGCTGTGTTACCATGTTGTATGGCGCAATTTTTCCAGTACCAAATAACGTAAGTGCAATAGAAACGTAACGTAATTGAGGAAGCCTACTATTGCATTTTCGCGGTATTTTTCTTGAGAACGGTCACACCGAAAGCGCCGCTACGGCCGAAAAGGGAAACGCAGGTATCCGATACATCAACTATCATGTAAAATGTCTATCCAAGACATTAACCCATACAACAAATAAAACTTTTTGGGGACGGTTTCTCGAGTAAAGCCTAGTACTCAGTACGACGAAAACTGCTAGCTAAGCATAGGAGTAAGCGAGAGGCAAATAGGTAGCTAAAGCCTTTAGCCGGGGACTTTTTTCACCGCGGTACTCAGTTGAGCTAAGGAAATGGTAAGGAAATACCAAAAAAATACTATATTTAGCGGATGAATTCCGATGAACGCCTTTAGCCGCGGCCCAAAGAATAAAAAATTTGATCTTTGGCTGTGTTTGTGCAGAAGCGGTTTGCCAATAACAATGTATAAATGGAAGGAAAACCACAAAAACCAATGGAAAACTGCCTGTAGGAGTTGCTGCAATACATATCGCCATTCCAACAGGGAATTTAAAGCTTGCGACCCAGGTCGGCTTAACATTTTGAAACATTTCAAAATTGGCGCCAGTTGATTTGTTTGCTGAGAGTAAGACCATGCTACATGCATTGCGGATGAAGTCCGAAAACTTCGGACACACTAAAAGATTAATATTTTTCGACTAGTAAAACTCTTAGCCGAACTGAGTACTAGGCTTAAAGGCGTTCATCGGAATTCATCCGCTAAATATAGTATTTTTTTGGTATTTCCTTACCATTTCCTTAGCTCAACTGAGTACCGCGGTGAAAAAAGTCCCCGGCTAAAGGCTTTAGCTACCTATTTGCCTCTCGCTTACTCCTATGCTTAGCTAGCAGTTTTCGTCGTACTGAGTACTAGGCTTAATGGGCAACTTCCTCTTGGCTGCTGGCTTGAATCTTTCGCTTTATTTTCACAACCTGCGAATAAAGGAGATACTTGTATTAATAAATAAGCTAAATAAATACTTAAGTCGTCCCTGAAAGTAAACCCCTGCCCATTCCCATAATAAAAAAAAAACACAACACTTTAAATTTTTAATTTCTTTATTTCGCCACTAAGGGCATTATTGTTTTTTTCCAGCGCCTTGAGGATGGCCTCCTTTGCGATCTGCACGGCTTGATCTGGAATTTCCTCTGCTTCCTTGGCTTTGTTGGCTACTTCTGCAGCCGCGTCGTTGATAGCCTTTTTCTTGTTTGCCCATATAATAGAATGGGGCCGGGGCCGGCGATGTCTTCCTTGGTGTTGGTGATAGGGGTGGGGACGGGGATGAGGATGGGGATAATATGGATAGGGGGGATAATGGGGTTGGGGATATTGTTGGGGATAGGTATAGGGATAAGGATAAGGATAAGGATAGGGATTGGGATAAGGATTGGGATAGGGCTTGGGATGGGAAATGGGATAGGGATAGGGATTGCGTGCTCCAGGTGGGTAATATCTTTGGTTGTAGTTCGGATTCATCTTCTGCAATAAAAGGATTATTTGTACAATTATTATTAAAACAAAAATTAAAATTTTACTTACGAATTGCTCTTAACCGCGTGGCGTCCTTTCCAAAAAAGAGTGACCGAGTTGTCAAAAAAAAAAATGAAATAGCTTTAAAATACTAAACGAAATAAAAAAACAAGCAAAACAGCTTCGTTTGTAGCAGCCCTACATTTCCCTCGAAGTCGATAAATATTTCGTAAATCGCACTTAGGGCACGACATATACGGGGGTGTCACAGAAATCCATTCCAACCGAATTTCCCCCGAATAGCAAATCTCGGTGTCACAGACGTCGTTTTTGATTAAATTACCCAACTTACAAATGTTTCCCAAAAATATAACTTTATTTAAGACAACTCTAATTAATTTTATGAACTACATGCATACTATGATTTTTATACCTATTTCGGGTTATATTTAAAAATATGCATTTTATAAAACCTCTCGAAAAAATTAGCTAAAAAAATCCGTCGGCAAACCGTCTACCTGACAGTGTTACCAATTACCGAGAACTTTAAAATACCAAATTTGTCCAAATTTCGGAGTTAGTTATCGAAATGTTTTTTTAACGAATTATTTATTCAAAGGTAATTAGTATTGTAGTTATAAATGAAACTTATTTCTGGTGAAAAATTTCATGGTAAAAGAAGTTGTAGTTATTGAGAAATTAATAAAAACAGACCGCCTTTGCAAAAAGTTGGCATTACTGTCGTGAAAAAATGTCCTATTTTTGCCAGGTAAAACGCTGGCTGTGAAGAAGAAGAAGACATGTAAGTAAAAAAGTGCAACATTTTTGTTTAATATTAATTGAAACTAATAAGCTTTGCTAATTTTCAGGGGTAAACATAGGTTCCCAGCGCAAGACACCATATTCTTCCTATTCATTCGCGATAATATCGACCAAAGGATTTACTCAGGGCGGCCGCATGTTTGTGAACGGACCTGGCCAATGAGTTAAATCTCCATGGTAGTCCATGTAAAACCGTTTGTAAGGATCTCCTCTGCGTCCTAGCCTCTAGCAGTTTATGCCTTCGCAAGTACTCTAGAGCAGACGGCATTTTGGTTCGCTTTTAAAATTCTTGCCAACCTAGAAATGTAGTTTTTCTTTTTGTAGTTTTGCAAGAAAAACATCAATTAAGTTTAAAACTTATTGGAAAATGGTCCAAATAAGTCTAATAAAATTCGATAATTATTGATATTTAGTGTATGCATCCAGCCCTGGTCGTTTTTCGGTAAATTTTCCGAAAAAAGGAAATCTCTCGAATTTCTGTGACACCAACGGTTTTGGTCGGTTGGTTTCTAAACCAACCGTCCCCAAATCCGTCGACGGTTTCTGTGACACCCCTGATAGACTTTAATAGACTTACGCTTTCGTATTATCCATTTGGTTTTCCCTTTACTTCACTTCACAAATAATTTAGTTTTTAAGTCTTTATATAGTTTTTTCCTTAGTTAAATTTGAATTTTAAATTGCTGGTAGCACTCATGTGTTTTCCAACTCTTTTTTCAGAAAAATTTGTTTTTGTGTTGGCAATGCCATTTCCAATGCCAATATAACACTTTTTGTCACAAAATGTGATATCAGAACTTTTGTATGCTGTGCGATCGTCACTTCTTTTTTACCTCGTCGCAATGAAGATAAAATGGTTTAACCCATTTTTTTGTGGCTTCAGGAGAAAGGATGTTAAGGACAATCCTGCCCCTTTCTCTAGTTCTTTCTCCACCAAGCGAAAGCACTTCCGAATTGAATTCTCCACTTCCTCCTTATTATGCGCGGCGACGAATGGGCATGCTAGTATTAGCATCTCAGCATCGATACCTGTATCCATTTCCACCTCTTCAGAATCACTTTGCTCCATATTCACTTCTTCAGAATCACTTTGCTCCATTTCACTTTCCATTTCGTAAGTTTTAAAACACAAACAAAATAATCAAATTGCAAACGAAGCTGTTGGCCAGATGACGATAACCGGTTTAGTAGAGCTGTAAAAACATCGATATTGGCTCCATCCATGTTTTCGGCTGGACCATCGATACTATCACGATACTATCGCTCGTAAGTAAACTACAACATTATAGCCTTCTCCCATAGTCCGTGTGAAACGTTCATTTTTTTTTCAAAAACTCAGATGTTGCTAGAGCATTTACAGAGCTTTGCAAAGTTCCAGCATTTCTTAGCACATTGATACCATGGCTCACAGTGTTTGAAAAAGCTTGAGTGGCCAATTTTACGTTCATTTTTTGAAAATTATTTGGTTCAATGTGTTTATCTGATAGTTTTGGTGCCAGTCGAGACACACCACCTGAGTCAATTCTATAAAACTCTTCAACTACCTGCCAAGAGGCGACACTTTTAGATGATTTCTCATCAAATTTAAGTGGGTCTGCAGGTAACTTCACATCTCTCTTCAAGAAGTTGTTTCTAACACTCTTGAACAAAATGAAAAATGAATTCTGGCCTAGGTGGAGTAATAAGTTCGTCCAACGATTTAAAGGCTACACATTTCATAGATCCTTGATCGCCTACTATAGCCGTAACATTAAGGCCAATATTTCGGCAACATTCTAAGGCTCTTTTAAGAATGTTCACCTCGTATAAATTAATTTACAAAGAAAACACCCAAAACATACTTCCAAGGTTTCACTTGGCCGCGGATCATAACCGCAAGCATTCCATCTGCTGGAGATGAATAGTGGCCATTATCAGAAAAAACGTCTCCCAAGTCTGTAAATCCAACTACGCGGTCAGACTTTGGGACATACTCCAGTGCTGATTTAATGCTCATTTCATCAAAAAGAATGCTACAATTTTTATCAAACTCGTTCATTTTTTGAACAAATCCTGCCAATATTTGAACATGTTCTCCTGTAAGGCCAGAAGTAAAGTCCTTTAATGGCAACCATCCCCTTAAAGAAGTCTCAGATGGCATATTGAATCCTAAATTTAGTCTTAAATTATTGTAAGCTCTAGGACTATTCATGTAAATTGTGCAATGAATTTCTTTATTTTTTGAGACATTGTTCTGGAATGTAATAACATTATTGTTTGTTACAGCACTATTTTTAATTTGGCTTTCACATAGATTAGAACATTCCAAAAATTTGCATTTTAATTTTTCCATTTCACGGTTGAAGTATATTTTAAGGCGAGAAACCTCATCACTTTGTTCTAAAAATGCAAGATTTTTCTTTTCCATTTCCGTAAGTTTGAAACGAAGGGAATTCATTTTGACCTGCAGCATTTTAGACCAACATCATTTCCAAAAATCATAATTTTGTCTTTGCAACGAGTCGTTTACGTTAGAAACTGCCAAATTTCTTTTTGAAAGCGCCTCATTTTGCATTTCTAAAAGGGAATTTAAAGTCTCTTGTTCATGGTTTTTTTCATTTAAAATTTCATTGATGCCATTCAATTTTTTATTTTCAAATTGCAATGAAAAATTTTTGGATCTCAATGTTTTTTTTTCCCCTTCTTAAGTTAATATTTTGCTTTTGCAATTTGGTAATATTTTTTGTTAATAACAAATTTTTCTTTTTCAAAAATAGGATTAATTTTTTTTTTTTAATTTTAGGATGTTTAGGAGAGCTCAATCCGCTACAATGGATTTTACTGAAGTACTTTTTGTCACTTTTTTTCATCTATAGTAGCCTGATATTTTTAATGTATTGTATGTGTACGGGTCTCAGTTCAACAAGGAAAATATCAGGCTACTATAGATGAAAAAAAGTGACAAAAAGTACTTCAGTAAAATCCATTGTAGCTAAAGAAGTAGAGGTCGCCCAACTTTGTGATTGGACACTCTTGAAGTTAAAGGTTCAAGGTACCACTTCCGCTAAATTGTGGCTCTGAACTACGAAAGGTTTTCTTACTATTAAACCGCAAAAAGTGCCTAAAAATCGAAAATTTGGAACTTTGACCACGGATTTCTCAAAACTTCGACGTGATGGAAAGTTTCCAAGTATGAGGTAGTAATCTACAGCTAAAATTCTTTTAGGTTTTGTAGCGAACAGCAATACGAACACGGGAGAGCAGCAATAGTGCTTTCCCTTTCTTACACGTTGCGCTGTTGTTGCTTGATGCAAAGTTGCTAAACTAAAATCGTTGTCTTTACTAGTAGGTCTTGCAAATACAAAAATTTTATTTAACCACTTCGTGAAGAATTGATGAAGCAATATGAGGATAATTTTTTTATTCGGAAACCGCGTGTATTCCGGCGTACAGATTTTTTTTAAATTTAAATTCTCTTAAAAAATACTTAATTTTAAAATTAAAAATTTTTTAAATTATTTTTCTGAAAGACATGAACATATCCCACAAAGTTGCATACCAAATATTGAAATAACTCAAACGAGTCTCAAGTGATGCATAACTGAAAAATCGGAGCTTAATTAGAAAATTATTTTTTTTAAACAAACGGTAAGAGTTAAAAAAAAAAAAAAAAAACCGATCCTTATATTTCAATCCTCTATCGAAAAAAAAAGTTTCGATTGATTCTGAGATTTGACCCAAATTGGCCTGTCACGTTTCACGTGGAATGAGCCTATAATAAATAATATAAATTCAACAATATTAATTAATTAACAATAAATTAATCTGAAAGAAAAACAAAAGCAAGCAAGGTGGGAAAAATTATAAAATAAGTAAAAACATTTTAATTATTAGTTATTATATAATTATAACTTGCCTAACAACGGGACGCCTCTTCTCCTAGACCAGTGGAGGGCCATCATCCCAATTATCTGTGGATAAAACGCTAGCCCTTCCTCCACCATAAGCATAAGGTCCACCAATATTCGGCCAGGTGGGTACATGGTGGCAGACACCTGGGTCTTCCACGACAGCCCCATAATTTCCAGGCCATGGTACAATTATAGAAGGTAGTCTCGTCGGCTGCCTAATCAACCTAATCGGCTTTTTGTCAGTGCAAGAATAACATCCTCTGTAGGACAAAATGATCTCATCTGAAATTATCA